CAGAAGTCCCTCGGGAACGGGAACTATGCGCCAATGCTCCAGGACTCTCTATCTTTTAACCACTGAACTTATTTCATAGAGATTCTGTACAACAATAGTCGAAGTTTTTATTACTCAAAACTTACGTGATCGGGCCGGGACTGGTAAGAACCCTGCGGGATTTTTAATTTATTGAAATTACGATAAATCATTTCACAATAGGTAAATCTTAATTGGGCACTGAATTGATTCTGATGAATTCTGTCAGATGTCATTAATCTATGCGGACGAAGTCGCGGGCAACAGCTAGTGGAATATAAAGTGCCACCCACCTTTTATCAGTTGAGCCATTTGTTTCAAGTGATTGTTTATGAAAAAATATGTATAATCTGATTTGGATTACCTCACTAACTAGTTTCATGACAATTGAAATAGAGTCGAAGAGTTTCCACAACAAATTCGTTATGTAACCAAAAAGTCACCGAATGGAACTATCACAACATCTAAACGTAGAAAATGTAAAGTAAACCTCCCTAAGCACACAATAAATCTATTCAAACACACTTGGATCGTAAAAATAAGTACTAAAAAGAGAACTAAGTACCAAAAGGAGCCATTAATGAAATACAGTAACTAGAAACTTGGTAAATATTTTTAAGGATGAAGTTACTAAGTTGGGTAATAACAGTGGAATAAAATTGAGCTGTACAAAATAAATGTACTTCGTGGAACGCCAGTTTCAGATTTACTGAAATGAGGTTCGTTACTTTATGCGGTAGGAAGGCAATTATTGGATCCTCGCGAGTTCAAAGAGGTCTATTTTTGGATGCTCCTTTATATTTTCGCATTTATTTTTCTGTGTCCAAAATGGACAGGTACCACGAATTGATTTGGTAAGATGTTTGATGTCATTATTTTGAAAGTAGAATATCAAGTATCAAATATAATTTCCTTTTGCTTAAATTCGACTAAAATATATAACTCCAAGAAATACACATTTTAAAAAAATACGGTAATAGTAACCTATGCAAGAATAGCTTCATTAAGACAAGATCTTTATAGCATTCACCCTAATTTAAAAAACAAACGCTTTCTCTGATAATCTTTTATCTTGCGCGTTGAGCGAAATGGAAGTCGTGCTAAAAGAACTTATCACCAGCAAAAAGTTTAATTGTACACTGGAAGAGCCGAAAACAAGAGTAGTAGGGCCCAAGAGACCAGAAAAAAAACTGTGTGTAAACTTTTAAATGGCGGTGGTCCCAACATTGCCAATGGGAATTGGACCTGATACACAAATTAGGCTTGTTCCCAATGCCGATGTCGGCGATAAAACGAATCGGTATGTCTTCTATTTTCGACAAAATTGGCTGAGAATAGCTGATTACCTCAAACGTAAATGGAACGTATTTAATTTTAGATTCTAAAAGAGAATTCGAACGGTAAAATTACATATTGAACCGAAAATAAATTTGTGCTTTTTGAATACGTTCATGTTCATTCTAAATGATTACATGGAAATGACTGTGTACAACATAAAGGTATAATGCCTTTTAGGTCTTACAAATGGGGCCTTGGGTACTAAAAGAGCTTTTCAATTACGAAGCCTGAACTTCAATAGACTATTGTAGTAACATGTCTGACTAGGTATACCATAGTATAGTAGGTTCCTTCCATTTAAATTAATTGAAAGAAGTAATCTATTATTTCTTCATATACCAAACTAGCTGACATGCATATAGTATGTCGAAACGTCTTAGAATCAATTAACTTAATTAAAAGTGTTATTTTTGATAATTTGATTCTGTTGGTGTTCCGAACGTAGACGAAGTCAATTTACGTAGATCAAGTAAAACTGTCGAACCCTCTAAGTTGTGGGTAAACCGGGCGGTTGGTTTATTTGTATAAGTTTAAATATTAATATGCGTTCAAGGTATCATGAATACCGACATGTAGTTTCAACTTTCTTATACCTGATGCCATACATTTCTATATCTAGAATTTATAACAATAACTAACAAGACTTTAATAAAAGTGGGGATGCAGCTGCGACCGGGTTGCTGGAACGGGTATTTTGTGGTAATATTAACTAAGATAAGTATCATGGCAAATGGTGGCAAACTATGAACAAAACGGCTGATGTTAACCGCTGTTACTATAATAATTGCAACTCTGTGCACTTGTAGGCCCCAGCATTTAACAAGACAAGACATGTTCAAACATTTATTTGCTCAGCAGAGGCTGATGATGGGATTGTAGTTGTAGATAAGGATGGAAATATGCTTGATCCATCTAGGATAGTCAAAAAAGTATAGTATAGTTTTAAGCAGATGGGGCCCAATAGGGCTGATGTTGATACGAGGCCGCGGAAGACTTAACAGATTGCCGGGGCTCCGGCTCGGAGTGCAGGAGTAGGAACGGGGTGGGTTTTAGGGAGTAAGAGTCTGAAACTTCCTCTCGCCTCACCTGTGCGAGAGAAGTCACAGGATGGTTTTTCCACATAAAAAAGAACGTGTAGCTGTAAATATTTTTACAACTTTACCAAGTAGTTACCAAAAGCAATAACACAGAATATACCTATTGAAAACTACAGTTGAATGTGAATATTGATAATAATAGAACCAGGATCAATGCTGTAAGTACTATTCCGTATTATTTCATATTCTTCAAGGCGATATCTTTAGAAAACGATTGAATAGATAGCGGAGCAATATGCAGATATTGGCAGACTACTGAATCAGGGGCAGCAATTGTTAGACCACGTATTTCAATAACCAGTAAACTATTAAAATTTTTTACTTTAAATAGCTGCAGAAGAAACGAAGGTTCTGCAAGGTGGCTGGCAGTGGTTGGATGAGTAGTGCTGAAGACCGAGCTCAGTGGCGTGCTATTGGAGAGGCCTATGTCCAGCAGGTTCTAGGCCCGTGTTCATCCACGAACACGGGCTGATGAAGAAGATGAAGAAGAAAATAATGTAAAGTAATAATAAAGTGTTGTTGAACTGTAATGTTATGTGTTACCAGACGGATTGTGTCAAGAAAGGTTTAGAAGACTGGATTCTTCCAGTAGCCACACCCGCTTTCCTGTGGGAAAAAAAGTGGCCAGGCCATAATCTACTCATGTCTCGATCCCTTCAGTCGTTGTGAAGTGAAGGATTAAAAAAAACATTCTAACTTTCGCATTTATAAAATGAGTAGGAGTGTCTTAATTTAGTTAAAAAAAATAGTAGGAGTATTAGACAAAACAAATATATATTATAACAAATATACACAAATACAAAACAAATATATATATACTTTAATTCACCTTACAATTAAACTACAGACGTCATCTGTGCTTGCAAAAAAAATAGTAGGAGTATTAGACAAAACAAATATATATTATAACAAATATACACAAATACAAAACAAATATATATATACTTTAATTCACCTTACAATTAAACTACAGACGTCATCTGTGCTTGCACCCCTAGCTCACAAGCGCAACCTCACAAGCCATAGTCCAGAACAGTGGCATAGAATTCACTCTCAAAATCTTTTATTCATCCCAATATAGCCTCGTAAGCTCTATAAATTCCAATATGTCGAACTACATAGTGTATACAATATGGGGAGTTTCTTTGTGGCTAGCTCGAAGTTATCGAGTCATTTCTATTCCACGCTAGTCCCAACCAGAAGCAACTCTTGAGGATTTTATTCTGTGATAGTACGACTCCACTTATCACGTATCAGTTGTAAAAAACTTGCCAACGGTCCCATAAAGAAGTGCTGTCAAGACTATCTCATACAATATTAAAGATTTCTTTGATATTTTTGTTTTCGTATTTTTCCTCGATATTTTGAAAATGTTGGGTGAACTAGTGAATAGACTAGAACCTTAGTGATGTATAAGAATTTTAATGCCTTATTTTATCTCTAGAATTGTGAACTGTATCGTGAAACAAAATATCTTGTTAAAATATAAGCTTAGTCTAAACTTTGGTCGCCCTCCAGGGTAAACACGCAATGTTGTGTTACGCTACGAAACATTTTATCTAAAAATTCATTGGTTCACTTTGATAGGGCATTTAATAATAATTTATGTTGTGTTTCGGCACGGCCCAGGGTAAAAGAATTCCCCATTAAATTCGGTAAGAGCCTTTCCAAGTTTAATGAAAGAGGTTTTAATCTACCAGCGAATTCTGAACTTTCGGAACGGTGTAACAGTTTTTTACCGAAGGCTTTGAATGCAAATTGACCCAAATTATTTTGATTGTCCGTAAGCCTTGTGCAGGAAAACTGCGAGAAATGAGGGGGATTATTTTTAAACACCGATGAAAAGAGAGGGGCGGTATTCGTATACATATGTATGGAAAAAGGAGGTGGGAATAATATTTTTCCTTGTGTTATAATATGTTTAGCTATAGTTAAATAAGCATTTCATCAACCAACACGAAATATCCTTTGAAGATGTACCTACTTACTTATTTTTGATCGTTATACAAATTAAAGTAAATGACAAAGGAATAAGGATTTATTTTAAGTTTTGAATGAACAATTTGGGTTATATTCTAAAAGAAAAGCAAGAATCAGTAAAGCAGTCAGGTGAAATCGCTTTTCACAGTTCCGACAAAAAATAAAAAAGAGGCAAAAAAATGAAGTAGGTACTCATCTCGAATTGTTTATTTTAAAATAAACGAAAAACGGGTTTAAACGCTCACTTTGATAATTAAAACGGTGGCGCACGACAAAGGCTTTAATTAAAATCAAACTTTACTGCAGAACGCAGGTATCTGGCTCTATGACGTAATATTGTTTATGAACGCGGGAAACTTTTGGAGCGCCTGCAAATGTCACTATTGATAGTCGACATTTTAGTTTATGGAAAATGATTTATTTTTTTTATATAAATGTTATTGATGTTGATTAACTGTTGAATATTAGATTCGATGATTAAGTTTAGTTATCGTAAATGGAATATAAACAATAACCAATCGATATGGTATCAAACTTAAATAATATTGAAAATAAGATTAATCTTACTATTATGTAACGCTCGAGAAACAGGTCAAATCTCGGACAACACCAAAAACAGCAACAGTACCTGTAATAGAAAAAGCCATAAATTAGAAAAGAGATGATGACATCATAAAAATCTGACATAATTTACGAGCCACTAAAAGTTACAACCTCCTTTGTTAATAATTCGCAACTGGCAACACCGGCGTGATTGTCAACACGCACATTTAAGGGTTGCCACTCCTTGCGGAAATCATATTAGGTATTAAAAATAATTAAACTTAATGAGGGTTCTAATAACCGTAGTTAAAGTGGGAAAATTATGGGTTTTGCAGTTAGATGTTTCGTTTAATATTGTTATTGCGATAATTATAAGCTTAAACTATATAACCTGTGGGTATTTTGAGTATGTATTGTTTACAGAAAGTGAAGGAGAGTTTAAGGAAAACATAGTGAAACAAGTGAAATAAATTAAAATTTAATTTTTAAATTTTTAAAGAAAGTAAATTTTTAAATTTCTTGGATTACCAGATGTCATTTTAGAATCAAAATTTCACAAAATGCAACGTCATCAACTTTTTTACTTATTCCATAATTAATGGTTTCCAAATGAATTTCCCATTTCGCGAATTAAAACTCAGTTTACTTTTGGATATTTTCCTTTCAAAAGGGTTTTCCGACTCCGAAAACCTCCTGAATGTTCATGAAAAGGTCCAAACTTTTACCTTTGATTACTCAGCATTGAAAATTCAAGTTAAAATGTAACTTCAAGTTAATTAACCTTCAATCAAATCATTAAACGTAGTTATATCGTGTTGAAATATCCGTAAAGTTAAACCCGTTTGTTGACTTTTAAACTCCGATTAAAGCACTATTTAGTTTAAGTTGGTAACTTTGAGTTATGTCACTAAGGTTCTAGGATAGGAAAAGGCGTTATTAGGACTTTAGCAGTTATGTTAAACATGGTGAAAAGTTGATGTATTTTATGAAATACCATCGATATCTACAGACAATCGACTATTTCGAAAGACCCCACGTGTTCTCCTCTAAATTATTCGCGAGAGAATTTTCCTCGGTAACGAAATCACTATTTTCTGTCCAACACATGTAATAGGGAATCATACGATTATACTATTTCTACTCATGACAATAACAACTTGAAACATGTTATAAAATTAGTACTACGTACACTTCAAAACAACAATTAGTTTTTAAATACTTAAAAAAGTATTAATAACAAATTTTATTGCATTTGCGTGTAGGGGTTGTTGAGTCGGAGTTAATTTCGCTCGTTAGTGAAACAAGGTCAATTAGCAGCTAACTTGTGTGTCACAATAATTAAAACACAATGTTACGTCACGCCCTATATTGACTAAAGGGGTAGTCAGAGGGCTTAGTATGAATTTGTTTTACGTAGAAAGTAGCCGTAACGAGATCGCGATCGGCACTCTGATTGGTTGGTTAGGTAATTGAAGCCGGTTGGAGTTTCTTACTCGTTCTTCTTCATAGGAATGTACACCTTGGAATGAACAAATAGCTTCACTTTTAAATTTTTTATTGGCGTTCAAGTGTCTTCGTGGTCTAAATGAAATGAATGATTTTGACTTTGACTTTGATTGTTGTATGATGGCGGTAATATAAATTATTTAAAACGGCGTAATAATTTATTTTACAAAATTACCGAGGGAACACAGTCGAGGGCTTCAGCTAACGATTAAAAATTCAATATAGTTGAAAAATTAATCAAGGCCAAGTAATTAGATTTAGAATTCTGATTAATTTGAGGCCCAGAGCTTGTGGAAGCCAGTCTCGCGAGATTTGTAATGTTAAGATATTCATGAAATTTAGATCTTTGTTAATCTTGTAACTACGAGTGTACTTGGATTATGTTTTCTTTAAGAGATTTAGAATTCAAGATTTTGTGGGAGTTTGTTAACTTTTCATTATTATATACAAACTAGATTTCGGCAAGCCATATTGTTTTCGTGGCCAAAGAAAAAAATAATGGCCTATATCAATCCCTTCCTATTTAGTGAACAAGACACAGCCATCTTAAGATAAAATTAGTTTTAAAAAAGAATGAACTCTAAGTAAATTTTATGGTAAATAAACTTATTTAAGAATTACTTTTTAAACTATACTGAACTCAAATTCATTCCAATTCCCTACCTATACCAAATTCCTCCTATCACAATTTAATACCGACACAAGTTCGCGAAACTTCGCCATACATTGCCTTATTTGCATACAAGAAGGCGCTCTAAGTACTAAGTAATGCAGCAATGTACGTTGAAATGAGACTACTTTACAATAGCCATTTGCAAGAACTATCGAAGAAGTGTTTCTTATTTAAATAGTTGCTAGGAGGCACTTAGAAACTTGTTTACGAGTAGACTGTAGAAATAAGATTTATAAGTTGTACAAAGATCTTGTGTTAATGAAAAAACCAACAAATACATAAGTACATCTTTCAGCCACCCATGGACACCTGAAACACTAGAGGCGTTACAAGTGCGTTACTGACCTTTTGGGGATTAGGAATTTGAGGATTATTGGGGAATCAGAGATTGGGGAGGGATGAGATAATTGGACCTCCAATAACCTCACTTACACGACGAAACACAACGCAAGCGTTCTTTCACGTCGATTTTCTGTGAGGCCGTGGTATCACTCTCCCACACTTTTTACTCTTGCGATAAAATGACTAATGTGTCTTTTTTCTTTTTCAACAAATGGAGAACTATACTAGAATAAATGATTATGCAAAAATGAACATACATTCTTAAATGCCTGTGTGTTCAGGAATACAAGTCTCCACTTACACCATCTACCACTGACATGAAAGATCTGAACTATATATAAAAGAGTACCAATATGATAAATTCGGTGTAGCGGTTTCGAGTCCCTGCTCATTTCAATATTGCTTTTTCGATCTTATTCAGTTAACATTCATAGGCCACGATAACTACTTACCATCAAGTGAGCCGTGTGAGCACACTTACCACTGCTGTGGTATAACTTTCTTTTTATTTTTTTATTATGACATGCAACATCAAAACAACTCATAATTGATTACAATTTTGAGTGTGGGAGAGCCCTGCTTCGGCACGAATAGGCCGGCTCGACCGGAGTGATACCACGGCCTCACAGAAAACCGACGTGAAGCAACGCTTGCATTGTGTTTCGTCGTGTGAGTGAGGTTACCGGAGGCACAATTACCCTTCCCTTCCCCAATCTCTCCAATTCCTGAATCCCCAACGATCCTCTAACTCCTGATCCCCAAAACGCCGATAACGCACTTGTAACGCTTCTGATGTTCCAGGCGTCCATGGGCAATGCCGATTGCTTACCATCAGGTGATCTGTGTGCTCGTTTACCGGCTTAGGCCATAAAAAAAAATACACACATCGCCCTATTTTTAAACGCTGATTCAAGTGTAAATAACAAACAAACCGTGTAATCGACGAATCAACCTTTTGTAAATCATTTGTTTGTGTTTAAACCACCCAATTAATTACCACTTATTGCCATGACAACAGATTAAGTCCGCCATTGTTATAACGCTGGTGACTAGAGGAACAAACGAATTGGGCTTATCTATTGTAATGAAATTAAAGTGATTGACCGTTCAATTCAATTGTCTACAAATACTGAGACATTTGGAATAGGAAATAAATATTTTGCGTTTTTTATTACATAAGATTGAAGCTTTATAACTCAGTGATCAACTTACAGTTCCATTTTTGGACAATATGCTTTTGGAACTTATCTAGACTAATTCTAGATGAGATATTAACCTTGCCCGAGCCCGTTGGCCGAGTGGTCGTAAGTGCGACTCGGCGGGCCCTTGCCCGCCTTACCCGGGAATCGTATCCGAGACCCCTTGGTCTCGGATACGATTCCCGGGTCGGGCAAAGTATAACTGGGTTTTAAAAAAAAACTCAGTTGTAGCACGGACCTATTACATGGGACTCATAACATAAATAGTGAAAAGTGGGTGTTACATTGTACAATGTACAGTGTACAGTGGCATAATGTGCACCTCTGCCTACCCCTTCGGGGATAAAAGGCGTGATGTTATGTTATTTTGATCTTGCAAGAAAATAAAAATACTTACTAATTAAAAACAATCATTTTGATGACCTAATGGTCATCAGACGTTAAGAATTTCAATTAGGCCGAGCAATTCCCAATTCACAATTACCACAACATTATTTTTTTTACCCTCTCTTTAACACTAGGGATGATGACAGGGTATGAAATTTAAAACTCTAATTAGTCCGTCAGTTAGGTAATGAAAAAATGTTAGACACGTATTTTTTCATTTTGTCGTATAAGAAAACAATACTTACATAAAACGAATCAAAGGTTAGGAGTGGGAGGTAGCTACGTCATTTTAGAGTATAAATCGTACTCAAAAGTGACGTCATGCGGTATTTCAAATCAATATACCATCGAAAAAAAAAATTACGTGTCTAATGTTTTTAAATAGTCTACCAGACGGACATTAAAATGACAATAAGTCATCTACCCTATTCCTACAATATCATCTTACCAGCCAGTTTTTGCTCTTTTCTTAAACGTAATTAGCCACACGGGGGAGTCAACTCGTTAACCTATTAACCTTCTGTCACAATTCTCTAAGGAGTTCTTATGTGGCTTTACGAGAAATTAATATTACATTGTCTTGGTGATTTAGTGGTCACAAGTATGATTGTCGAACAGGGATATTGGGGATTGATTATTTGAATTTTACAATCACTTTTTAAAAAGGAAAGGGTAGTCATAAAATCTCCGACAAAAAAAAAAGACAAGGGGTCTTGGGTTCGACTCCAGGGTCGGGCAAAGTATTACTGGGTTTTTAAAAATCTCAGTAGTAGCACGGAGTATGGAAATGTGCCCGGTATATGGCAATAGGCTCACCCACTATTACGTATACATAGGACTCATAACAAAAATAGTGAAAAGTGGGTGTTACATTGTACAGTGGCATTAAATGCCGAAAACTGTGATGTTATTTAATTTTGCTTACTCAAAATATTAAATCTACTGCCTTACTGACTACTTTTGTCCGAATAAAAACGA